CTGTTGAAGCCCCAATTTGGGGCATCCTGTAGGGTCCAAGGAACTCAAATTTCTTATCTGGGGTAGACCTCGACTTCTTCCTGGTCCTCAGTTTGGTCTTGGCTTCCCTTGAATTAGGGCAACAGTCATCAAGATACGCTGCTGTTTCTTTTTCTGATGCTCTTTTCTTTCTAGCACTTGGTCTCTGCTGTTAAAAACTTTAAAGGCAACCCCAACCAATTGTGACACAGATATTCCTGATGCATCTCCAGCCTTTGGAATTTCTTTTGAATGTCTGGGGCGTTTTGCCCAAAAAACATCATATTGAACATTTTCAAAAATTCTTTCAAGAAGGTCTGAAGGGTCCTCCTTCCACTCATGCTTTCTTTCTTTTTGTTAAGTTTATTTATTTATTTATTTTGAGACAGAGAGACACACACACACACACACACACACACACACACACAGGATGAACAACGGCGGGGGGGGAGCAGAGAGAGAGAGGGGGAGAGAGAATTCCAAGCAGGCTGTGGGCTGTCAGCACAGAGCTCCATGCAGGGCTTCATCCTATGACCGTGAGATCATAACCTGAGCCAGAATCAAGAGTTGGATGCTTAACTGACTGAGCCACCCAGGTGCCCCTCTTTTTTTTTTTTTTTAAGATTTTATTTTTAAGTAATCTCTACACCCAACGTGGGGCTTGAACTCCCCACGGGATCAAGAGTCACATGCTCTACCGACTGAGCCAGCCAGGTGCCTCCACTTTCTTATACTGCACACAAAAACAACTCAAAATTGATTAAAGACTTAAATGTGACACCTGAAACCATAAGGCATGAAGAAAACAGAGGCAGTGATTTCTTTGACATCAGCCATAGAAACATTTTTCTAGATATGTTTTCCTCAGGCAAAGGAAACAAAAGTAAAATTAAACTATTGGGACTACATCAAAATAAAAAAACTTTTGCACAGAGTAGGGACCCCTTTTCTTTTTTTTATTTATTTATTTATTTTTTTTCCTTTTTTTATTTTTTTTTACAAATAGTTTATTGTCAAATTAGTTTCCACATGGGACCCCTTTTCTTAAATATCACCCTGATAGTGTTCAAGTTTACCTCAGTCTCCAGCCTTGAGGTTCCAGTTGGGATCCACAGTAGGAATGGGCATTACGGCATTAGCTCTTAAGGAGTTATTGGGGGTTTTAGCATGTAGCCAGTTAACATCTTCCCTAGCCTTTCCTAGCATCATGTGGCATTCCTCAGAAGTGAGGAAGTGAAGAGAAGAGTTAACAAATTTTGTACATCTGCCCATGTGGGATTGTGGATGACAAAAAAATAGATGGGAACAGATTTTCCATCCTCTTGGGGTCATCTCTGTAAGCAGGCATGTCGTTTTACCAATTAAATTCAGGGGCACTTGGGTGGCTCAATCAGTTAAGCGTCCAACTCTTGATTTCAGCTCAGATCATCATCTCATGGTTTGTAAGTTTGAGCCTTGTGTTGGGCTCTGTGCTGACAGTTCAGAGCCTGATTGGGATTCTGTTTCCTGTTCTCTCTGCTCCTCCCTTTTTGCTCTTCCCTTTTCTCTCTCTCTCTCTCTCAAAACAAGTAAAGAAACATCAAAAAAAAAAAATTCAAGGTGGAGAGTGGACCCAAATCATTTCTATAGGTTATCCCCCTGCATCTAAGCCTCCAATTGGGACTTGGCTTAGTAGATATTATCCTCCCTGGGAATGAGTGGCTCCCTGACCAAATTGAGTCAGGGTATGAGAAGGGGACACCCTTTGTACCTATTGGCCCCCTGAGGCTGAGGGTCCTGGTTTAGGGCCCTGAGGAGGGGCAGTAGCTCTGGTGCCCCCATAGGGTGGAAGAACTGTACAAGAGTTTAATCAATAAATCCTCCTCCTCTCCCTGGTGGGAATCAGGTGACACAGGCTTTTTATTGTTACTGGTGTGTTGGAGTAGAATTTTAATTCTTTTCTGAGCTGGCTTATTTTGATATAAAAGCAAAAAAAAAAAAAACTTACCTTCCCTTTTACAAAGCAAATCTAATTGCAAGATGGTATGATGCTTTGGGGATCCATTAATTGGCTATTTTTTCCCCCAGAGTCGAATGAATACTGTGGCCAAGCATTGTTGTAAAAGAAAATCATCTTTTTCCTTTTCATAGATTCATAACTAAAGACTGTCCAATTTTGGAGAATATAGCCCAAAGGCTGCATGCAGGTACCAAATTGTCATTTCTCGTTTTCCAATTAGAACACAGCCAGTTTGCAAAGATACCAAAAGCTGCATCAACAAATGAGCCAAATGAAGCCAAGAGTACCTCTGTGAACAAAAATTCTCTAGATTCACTCTAAAAGTCAGGGCTTCACCAACTGAATCAAATGACTTCCTAGTCAATATTTTCTTTTCAACTTTTTTTTTTTTGAGAGAGAGAGAGAATCTTAAGCAGGCTCCACACCCAGAACAAAGCCCAACACAGAGCTTAATCTCATGACCATCTGTGAGATCACGACCTAAGTCAAAATCAACAATCGGACACTTAACAGACTGAGACACCCAGGCTCCCTCCCCTCCCCCCAACCTTTTCTTAATCAAGCAAGAAAAAGAATGCTAAGAGAGCCAAACCAAAACCCCTTATTTGGTGGCAACCAAATAAGAGGAAGAAATAAGAATTTAGTAACTTGTGCTGAGGTTAGTCACCAAAGAGATATCTGTGCATACTGAAACTAAAAGCTGTTTCTTTACCACAAGAGTTAAATTAAGAACCTGAAGGTCAGTGGAGCCAAACTGGGGCAGGGGATCTAGGGGAAGGTCCCTAGGACAAAGAGTCTACGCAGCTGCTTGGACTCATCACCAGACTCTCATTAATGGCTGGGGCCATTGAACCAAGGTCAAAGAGCTCCTGGCTGGCTCACCAAATTTGTGACCAAACCCAGGTTCATATGACCAATGTGCAGCAGAGCCAATCAACTGAGACATCAAATATGCAGGAAGGAAAGGATTTATTCAGGAAGGAGGGACTCTTAGTTGGCTCATTTAGTGGAGCTTACAACTCTTGATCTTGGGATCATGTGTTCCGGCCCCTGGTTAGGCATCCAGCTTACTTGAAAGAAGGGAGGGGAGGGGATGGAAGGGGAAGGGAGGAGAGGGAGGGGAAGGGAAGGGAAGGAAAGGGAAGGGAAAGAGGCAGCCAAAGGAGAAGAGGAGAAGGGAAGGCAATCCTCAAATTCCTCTTCTCAAAGGGGAAAAGTCAGGGATATTTATTTATTTATTTATTTTTAATTAAAAATTTTTTTTTTTCTGAGAGAGAGGGACACACAGCATGAGCAGGGGAGGGTCAGAGAGAGAGGGAGATACAGATTCTGAAGCAGGCTCCAGGCTCTGAGCCAGCCATCAGCACAGAGCCCGACATGGGGCTGGAACCCACAAACCATGTGATCATGACCTGAGCTGAAGTTTAACGCTTAACCGATTGAGCCACCCAGGTGGGGTCAGGGATATTTAAAGGTAAGTGAAAAAGGATCTGGGTATAGGGAGAAGGAGGTACATGATTTCAAAATCAGATAAAGGTAGTTATTAAGTAAGGGAAGGATTGAAGTGATTTTCATTGTCTGCGCCTTCACAGATCTTCAAATGACCCATGATCAGAGAAGAGCCTCCTTGGTATGATTTGAGGGTGGGGTTTTAGACCCTTCAATATCAAATACTCATCCATCAGACACAGGTGCCTGCTCAAAGAGAAGCCTGACTGTCTTAACCAGTTCTGGTTGTTTTCTACTGAAACCTTGAGTCTTTGCAAAACAATGAAACCAACACTTTTCGTATTGTTAGGCTAGGCAAGGATGTTATCTATAGAAACATGGTGGCAGGCTGCATTCTGAGAATAAACAGAGTTGATGAGTAGAAAGTTACCTTTGCACTTGTTGGTCTTCTTAATCCTTTGGTAAGATTTGCTGTTAACTTTCTAACAACCAACTCAACTCAAATTCAAAACTCCCTGGGTCCATAGGCCAAAACTAACCGGTTGCTCTGTTAAACTCTTCTTGATAGCAAGACCATAAAAATGTCCTCCTATGAGTGATTACAGCAAGGGGCTGTGTAACAAGAGCACTGTCCCCCTTGGAGAGAAAACGGTGACAAGCTTCACAGCACTTCCCTGAGAACAGGCTGAGACCCACTTCGGTGGCCCTATTCAGTGCAAGGCTGGTATTCCTGGGCTCAGTGTGGCTGATTTGATTCAGAATGAATAAATAATCGATGATAATCCAGTCAACGGAGTATTCCAATGGGTATCACAATGTGGGGAGGAGAGCGAGCCCTTACGTGACAAAATCAAGCAGGAAATTAGGAGGTGACAAAAACACAAAAACATGAAACTATATGAAGAAAATTATCACAGTAAAAGCTCTAAAATGTTAACAGTGGTTATTTCCGTAAATTAGGGGTGACACTGCCTTTTTTTTTTTCCTCTTCAGTTGTCCACTGGGAAATACAACGGGGAAAAGTAGTTTTAAAGATGATTCGCAGGGTGGCTGAGTGGCTCAGTGGGTTAAGCGGCCAACTTTGCCTCGGATAATGGCCCCACGGTTTCTGGGTTGGAGCTCCGCATCTGGCCCTGTGCTGACAGCTCAGAGCCTGGCTCCGGCTTCGGATTGTCTTCCTCTCTCTCTGCCCCTACCCCACTCACGCTCCGTCTCTCTCTCTCAAAAATAAATCAACAATAAATAATAATAAGTTTTTTAAAAAAAAAAAAGGTGATCCGCGTGAAACTTGTGGAGTGTGGGGCCAAGCCTCGCAGGATGCCCCTGGCCCTAGAGCGAGGCCCTGGACGCCATATTCCTTGTCTCGGCCAGGACCAGCCCTTCCCAGGCGAGGTAGGGGGCGGCACACCGAGACTCAAGGTCCTCCGCGCAGCCTAGAGCGGTCGCGGAAGTTGGCTAGGGGCGGGGCCCGAGGCTCCGGCGGACGCGTGGTGGGCTGGCCGCGCGGAGTTTTGTTGCTCTACTGAGTGTTGGACGGAAGCTTGCTGATGGCGGACGGCCGGTACTATGTTCTTCTGTAACAGAAGAGTTATCTCACCTATCCGTGTCGCCAGCGCCCGAGGTGCGTGAGTCCAGGTCCCGAGCCCCCTGGGGGTCGACTTTGGCATTGTCTTTCCCCATGCCCGGGGTGATCGGTGTCCTGCCACTTCGGTGTCCCCTGAACGCCTCTTAGCGCGTCCATCCCCCCGCTCAAGTTCCCAGCCCTGCTTCTTCGAGGGGCAGGTGCTGGGATGACCCGGGGCCATAGTGCACAAACCTCCTGTTGCAGGGGCCGGTGACCATCGACGATGCGGACGTGGGTTTCCGAAACGAAGAGTAGACTCGCCTGTCCTGCCCCCAGAAGGCTCTTTACACGGACTGATGCTGAAGAATTATGGGAACGCCATCGCACTGAGTAAGGACTTCGCTGTGACCCGACTGGTGTGACTGGAAGGCTTACCTGCAGTTTCTCACTAACCGTGGCTCGGTCTTTTCTCCACATTTCCCCGCTCGTGTGTGGTGGGACGCTTCAGGGTCTGGAGAACTTCTAGAGCTTCAGACCTTCCGAAGAGCTGAGCTCAAGCTTCTTCTGTTGCCGGTTTTTGTTTTAGTCAATATTTATTTCTTCTTTATATTATTTATTTTTATGTCAGACGAAAGCCCTGGAATTTGCTTGTGACGTGGCTTGAAGTATCCTTGATTGGTATGCCAAGCCCTTTTTTGGTGGAAGTGCTGCTGGATGGGGCTGTGCAGGCCCTGATTCCCAGTGTTTTGACAGAGAGAGTCTTGAAGTGCTGCTGTGCCCCAAGGCAAGATCTTTCTTTTTCTTTCTTTTTTTTTTTCCCCTTAAGTAAACTGTACCCCCAACATGAAGCTGAAACTCAGGACCCTAAGATCAAGAGTCATTAACAGTGGGCAGTTTTCTAAGTGTTCTCAGTGCTTGCTTTTCTCCTACCTGGAGCTCTGTGTAAGCATTCCCCACAGCAGGATCTGGGCGTGGGACTGACTGGTAGGTGTCTAGAGTGACTGCCCATGGCCACTGTCATCTTTTCATTCCAGACACAAAAAGGATTTGTCTACTGGGCCCATCCACACCTCAGAGTATATTCTGTCCGTCAGAGAGAGCATATGACTCAAACTTCCCCCAAATATGTGAAATGAGTCTAGTTCCTTTTGTCATTATAGTTCTGTATCAGAATGATTTGATTATATTAAATTTGGGGGAGACATTAAGGTGCAAGACTCTCATTTGGAGTTTGCCAGCCCCCTATACTTTGTAGTTAGGAAAAGGAGGCCCCCAGTGTAAGTGTTGGAGAAAGTATGTATGAATGGGGTGGAGTTGAAATCCACACTTGATATGAAAGTGTGGTAGGAAAGGGATTCCCAGCGGCGCCTGGGTGGCTAAGTTGGTTAAGCATCTGACTTTGGCTCAAGTCATGATCTCAAAGCTTGTGAATTCAAGCCCCACATTGGGCTCTCTCTACTCTTCAACGTAGAGCCTGCTTCAGATCCTCCTTCAGATCTTCTGTCCCCTCGCTTCTGCCCTTCCCCCAAGCTTTCTCTCTCTCTCTCTCAAAAAGAAAAATATTTTTAAAAAAGAAAAGAGGGGTTACCTGTGTGGCTCAGTCAGTTAGGCGTCCAACCGCAGCTCAGGTCATGATCTCACAGTCTGTGAGTTCGAGCCCCATGTTGGACTCTGTGCTGACAGCTCAGAGCCAGGAGCCTGCTTTTTGATCCTGTGTCTCCCTCTCTCTCTGCCCCTCCCCCACTCACACTCTGTTCCTCTCTTTTTAAAAAATAAATAATATTTTTTTTTAAATTTTTTTAAAAAGAAGAGAGATTCCCAGAATATTACCTAAAAAGGAAAACCAGAAACAGACCAGACTTTAACTGCCTGGCTTCTGTATATCTGGGATTTTCTACAGAAAAACCTTTATCTAAGCCTTTTTTAGGGTTGAGTGGACAGCAAGATAGTGCAAAGCTGGAAAGTCTACAGTTGGTCATGAGAAGACAGGAAAGAAGGAATCAAATGGAATATCTAGAGCCAGTGGGAAGGAGCCAAGAGGCAGACAATTAGCTTGACTAGAGCCATGAAATTAGAGGGCTCATCAGTAGAGAGTTGCCCTGATACCCTGATTCCTTAACATGCTGACCATTTTCATTGCCCATGAACAGGATTTTCAGTCTATAAAACTGAATTGAGAAGCCATTTGGAAAGTGGGCAGGTCTTGTATATCTGGGCTGGACAAGGAACCATGGTGTGGTGAGTGCAAGAAGGCCTTTGGGGCCCCTGCCCTGCCTGCAGCTTGTACGCATTATGTAGTAATTCTTTTGAATTCTTTTGTTAAGAATATAGGTTCATTCTAGTAAGTTCTCTCCTCCTGGTTTATTTTTTTAATTTAATTTAATTTTCTTCTAAATGTTTTTTTTTTTTTTTTTTTTTGAGAGAGAGAGAGAGGGAACGAGAGTGGGAGAGGGACAGAGAGATAGGGAGACAGAGGTTCAGAAGCAGGCTCTGCCCTATCCGTGCAGAGCCTGATGTGGGGCTCCAATTCAGGAACCAGCTCACAAACCCATGAGATCATGACCAGAGCTGAAGTTTGACGCTTCACTAACTGAACCACCCAGTTCAGGCACCCAGATGCTTTAACTGAACTACCTCGTTCCCCCGACCAAAAAAAAATTTTTTAGAAGAAAATTAAATTAAAAAAAAAAACAAACAAAACCCAGGAGGAGAGAACTTACCAGAATGAACCTATATTCTTAACAAAAGAATTCAAAAGCTTTTATTTTATTCTATCTTCCCTTATTTTATTTATTTTTGGTTTATTTTACTATTACCAATGTTATGCAGCCTTTTCTCTCAGGTCTGAACTCTGGTTCAGAGTTACTGTGAAGGAAGGCTTACAATGGATTTCTTTCCACCTTCCTCAGTTCCCAGCGGACTTAGGATTTCTAAGTGAGCAGAGTATAGTAGCATTTGCAGGGTTTTTTCCCCCTCTTTTATTAATTAATCAATTTTTTATATTTTAAGTAATCTCTATACCCAAAGTGGGCCTCGAACTCACAACCCCGAGATCAAGAGAATCATGCTCTTCTGACTGAGCCAGCTGGGCATCCCTAGCAGTTAGAGTTTTTATGTGTTCTCTTTAGAATCTGCATCTTCATGTTTGCTTGGAAATGGAGGCAGAGTAGAGAATGGGACTTTGGATCTGGATCCCCTCAAATTCTCAGAACCCTCGTGTTCAAATAAGTCCCAGTCTGAATCCAGTGGCCCCTCTTCTGATGTTGGACGAGAAAAGGTGTCTGGGTGATGGCACTGGGGCCTCCAGCCCTCCTTCCTCCCCTCTGTCCCCTTAGTGAAATCATAGAGACCTTTCATCCCAGGGACTAGGAAGAGGACTGGAAAGGCATCCTGACCGGACAGACCGTTTTGCCTGTAGAAGAGGAGACCTTCCCTAGTTGCTTGGAGGCCAGGAGCCCATTCCTGTTCTACTCTCCTGGCTGCTGAGTGATTGGGCCCTGGCCCTAGTAAAGGACTGATGGACTCCCTACGATCCAGACAGCTGGCGTCACTCCTCTTAGAGATTTGCCAAAGGCGAAAAGAGTAACTTCAACCATCAGACATTTAGACAGTTGGAGGTTTATTACTGATAAAGTTCATTTACACATTTGATTGTCAAATTCTGTTTAAAAATGAAATCCAGTAAGGGGTGCCCGGGTGGCTCAGTCAGTAGGTGTTCCACTCTTGACTTCGGCTCAGGTCATGATCTCATGGTTTGTGAGATCGAGCCGCACATCGGACTCTGTGCTGAGCATGGAGCTTGCTTGGGATTCTCTCTCTCTCTCCCCCTTTCTCTCTCTGCCCCTACCCAGCTCTCGCTCTCTCATGCTCGCTCTCTCTCTCTCTCTCAAAATAAATAAATAAAAAATTTTAAAAACCACCAAAATCCAATAAAGCCATTGTTTCTGTTCATTTTTATCTCTATACTCTTATGAGTAGATAAGGTTGCTAATAATGATCCTCTCTTGGTTTAAGAATGAAAAATCACACTTTTTTGGTCATGAGCCAAAAACCTAGCATATCTACTTAAATAATGCTACCAGGACTACAAATTATTAAGTAGGCCAATCAGAATTATAGACTTTAAAAGTTAAAGACCACTTTCCCAGGATGTAGTAACAGACTCTGAAGTCCAAGAGTCTTGAAAGACTCCTTAAAAATAACCTTAGCAAGAACACTTCTGTGACATTGAATAGTATGAGCTTTTCTGCAGCCATAGGAAAACAGAAATAGTTCTTCCCTTTGACCTAGCTGAGACTTTTTTCATCAGTAGGTAGGAAGGTCTAGTTTCAAAGCCAGGCTTGGAATTCTGTTAATCAGTAAAGGAGGAGGGAAAAGACAGATTTGAGAAGCTAAAAATTCACAACATAGAAAGGAAAAGAGCTGAATAGGATAATTCTCAAACAGACCATGGGAATGTACTGGAGTCCTGTTTTCCAGTAGAATCTGGAAGATACTTGTTAGGTAGAATGCACATCAAATACAAATCCCAGCTGGTCCCAGTCATGGACATGGTCTCGGGCCTGTAATCATGGTCTCCCATCACTACTGCACTGGTGGCTTCTGAGCCAGTGACCGACCTGTAACCCCTAGAGGAACAGGGTGGCTGGTGGGACAGTCCCTGACCCTGCTGAGTTCATGTGGAGGTGCCACTCAGAGCAGTCCCCTTCCTCCCTCCTCCCTGAGGCGGATGTGGTGTCCAGGATCTAGGGAGGGACCAGTAACTGAGAGAGCAGTTAGTCGCTGCCACCTTCCGAGACACTTCAGTGTATCAACTCTGGGAACCAGGCCCTCATCCTGGCTGTAGGGCCTCTTCACTTTCAGCCCAAGAATTTCAGAAAGGAAGATCCAAACTTCCGTGGGCAGTAAACCTTTCAAATAGGTCTACTGGGTTATTGACTAGTACACAGTGGTTTGAAGAGAGTGGTTTCTAACTGCCATAAAAGTAGATAGTTTTCGGGCCTCCTGGGTGACTCAGGGTTAAGCATCTGACTTCGGCTCGGCTCATGATCTTGCGGTTCGTGAGTTTGAGCCCCATTTCTGTGCTGGCAGCTCAGAGCCTGGAGCCTGCTTTGGATTCTATGTCTCCTTCTCTCTCTGCTCCTCCCCAACTCACCCTCTGTATGTCTCTCTCAAAAATAAATAAACATTAACAACAACAACAAAAAAAGTAGATAGTTTTCACGTGAAGAGCTGGAATTTACCCTAGGCCTTAGGGAACACTATGATTTTAATTGGGTAGCCACATGTCCCAATTTGTTTGAGGCATTTCTACTCAAGACCTGATGTCCTGCTCTAGTTTTTTTTTTCTTCTTTTTTAATGTTTACTTATTCTAAGAGAAACAGCATGTGAGCGATGGAGGGGCAGGGAGAGAAGGAGAGAGAGAAGCACTGTCAGTGCAGAGCCCAACACAGGGCTTGATCCCACAAACTATAAAATCATGATCTGAGCCGAAGTCAATAGTTGGACACTTAACTGACTGACCACCCAGGTACCCACCCTCTTCCCCTCCCACTTTTTTAAGAGAGAGAACATGAGCAGGGGAGAGGGGCAGAGGGAAAGAGTGAATCTTAAGCAGGCTTTACGCTCAGCATGAAGCCTGACATGGGGCTCGATCCAAAGACCTGAGCCAAAATCAAGAGTCAACTGACTGAGCCACCCAGGTGCCCTCTGCTATAACTATGGTTTTTTAAAGTATATTTATTCTTGAGAAAGTGCATAAGCCAGGGAAGGGCAGGGAGAGCGGGAGACACAATCCGAAAGCAGCCTCTGAGCTGTCAGCCCAGAGCCCTACGCAGGGCTCGAATCCACGAACTGTGAGATCATGACCTGAGCTAAAGTTGGACACTTAACCGACTGAGTCACCCAGGCGCCCCCTCTGGTGGAATTATTAATAGCATTCATTTCCAGTCTCAGAAGTAAGAAGTATCTTCATTGTGACAATAAGTCATATGGTCCCTGGAATTCTAGGACAGATTACATTTGGTCCAGAATTAGTTCCTACTGTCTGAATTCCCTCCCTGGTCATTTGGACTGGAACCAGTCAGACTGACTTACCTATGGGACTCGTCAACTGTGTAACCCTGGAATCCCTTTCTTTTTCTTTTTTTAAGATTTTTTTTCTTTTCTTTTTTTTAAAGTAATCTCTCTACACCCAGTGTGGGCCTT